CGTACAAACAAATGTAAATAATACAACATGCTATGATTATATGTGACAAATATAACAGAACAAATTTAATGTAAATAATAATTACACTGTACATATACATCATGATTTGCTATCTTATGTATGTAATAAAAATAGCAGTTCAGTTATGTGCATGATTGATTAGTAGAAAAAGACACAAAAATGAAATAACAGTACACATTATGACTTACAATCTATATTGTGCAACCAAGATAACAGTTTAATTATTGTTGATTGATATCAGAGAAAAAGACAGATTAAAGATTAAATGTCAATAACAGTACACATTATGACTTACTTTCTATTGTGTGACCAAGACAACAGTTTATTTATTGTTGATTGATGTCAAAGAGAATAAAAGATTAAAAATAAAATATAAAAATAATAATGGTACACACATTATGACTTACAATCTATTGTGGGATCGGAGAAACAGTTTGATTTTGTCAAAGAATAACAGATTAAAAAAATAAAATGTACATGCAATGGTACACATTATGACTTACTAGCTATTGTGGGAGAAACAGTTCAATATTGTCAAAAAAGAAAGACAGATTAAAAGATAAAATGTAAAAAATAGTACAAATTATGACTTACTTTCTGTTGTGTGACAAAGATAAAAGTTTAATTATTGTTCATTGATATTAGAGAGAAAGACAAATTTTAAAAATCAATTATAGTACACATTATGACTTACATGTATGTCCTATTGTGTGAGCAAGATAACAGTTTAATTATTGTTCATTGAAAGAAAAATTTTTTAAATTAATTATAGTACACATTATGACTTACATGTACTTTCTATTGTGTGACCAAGACAACAGTTTAATTATTGTTGATAGATATCAGAGAGAAAGACAGATTAAAAGATAAAATGTAAATAATACAGTAGGGTGCCTTTTTTAGGGCTATAAATTTAGCAGATATAATTTGCTGTATTAAATTTCATGAGTTTTATCCCCAATTTGAATTTTTCATGCCCATACAATTAATTTGAGGAATTTATTTCCATGAATAGCAACAAATTCCACAAAATATATATCCCTAAAAAGGCATCCTACAGTAGTACACATTATGACTTACTCCCTATTGTGTGACCAAGACAACAGTTTAATATTTGTTGATTGATACCAGAGAGAAAGACAGATTAAAAGATAAAATATATATACCGTATAGCCAAAAATTTTGAAGGCTTAAAATTTTCGTGAATAATTAAATTTATAGGAAATTTTTAATTTCATGAAAATATTTTCATGATTTTTATTTTAATAATAATAATTGAACACACCCATTTTAATCAAAACATGGCAGATTGAGATGGACTTTAGGGGCACGACGTCTACAGTGTGGAAACCAGTATAGTGATTGTGGAGATCATCTTTGACCTTGCCTCTAGGCTTAAAATAGCAATATAGAAATATCAACTTGACTGAGAATACGACTTGTTTAGACACGAGGGCGTGCATACACATACATACACATGTATTAGTAAGGCGTGGTTGAACACACCCTTCAATTAATATTTATTTTCATGCGGTTTCATTTTTCGTAATGCAAACAGTGATCATAAAAATACGAAATTCCTTACAAAATTTTTTGGCTATACAGTAATAGTACACATTATGACTTACTGCCTGTTATGTGACCAAGACAACAGTGTTGATTTATATCAGAGAGAAAGACAGATTAAAAGATAAAATGTAAATAATAGTACACATTATGACTTACTGCCTATTGTGTGACCAAGATAATAGTGTAAGTAATTATTGTTGATTGATATCAGAGAGAAAGACAAATTAAAAGATAAAATGTAAATAATTATAGCACACATTATGACTTACAATCTATATTGTGTGACCAATATAATAGTTTAATTATTGTTGATTGATATCAGAGAGAAGGCAGATGAAAAGATAAAATGTAAAAAATAGTACACATCATGACTTACTGACTATTGTTTAACCAAGATAATAGTTCAATTATTGTTGATTGATATCAGAGAGAAAGACAAATTAAAAGATAAAACGTCCATGTAAATTATAGTACACATGTTGACTTACTCTCTATTGTGTGACCAAGACAACAGTTTAATTATTGTTGATTGATATAAGAAAGAAAAAACAGATTAAAATGTAAATAATAGTACACATAATATCTTACAATCTTGTGTGACCAAGATAACAGTTTAATTATTGTTGATTGATATCAGAGAGAAAGACAGATTAAAAGATAAAATGTAAATAATAGTACACATTATGACTTACTTTCTGTTGTGTGACCAAGACAACAATTTATTTATTGTTGATTGATATCAAAGAGAAAGACAGGTTAAAAATAAAATGTAAAAATAATAATGGTATACGTTGACTTACAATCTATTGTGGGATCCGAGAAACAGTTTAATATTGTTAGAGAGAATGATAGATTTTAAAAAGTAATGGTACACATTATGACTTACTAGCTATGTGGGAGAAACAGTTCAATATTGTCAAAAAGAAAAACAGATTAAAAGATAAAATGTAAAAAGTAGTACAGATTACAACTTACTTTCTATTATTGTGTGACCAGGATAACAGTTTAATTATTTTTCATTGATATCAGAGAGAAAAACAAATTAAAAAAATCAATTATAGTACACATTATGACTCACATGTACGCTCTATTGTGTGAGCAAGATAACAGTTTAATTATTGTTCATTGATATTAAAGAGAAAGACAGATTAAAAGATAAAATGTAAATAATAGTACACATTATGACTTACCCCCTATCGTGTGACCAAGACAAAAGTTTAATTATTGTTGATTGATATCAGAGAGAAAGACAGATTAAAAGATAAAATGTAAATAATAGTACACATTATGACTTACCCCCTATCGTGTGACCAAGACAAAAGTTTAATTATTGTTGATTGATATCAGAGAGAAAGACAGATTAAAAGATAAAATGTAAATAATAGTAAACATTATGACTTACTTCCTATTGTGTGGCGAAGACAACAGTTTAATTATTGTTGATTGATATCAGAGAGAAAGACAGATTAAAAGATAAAATGTAAATAATAGTACACATTATGACTTACAATCTATATTGTGTGACCAAGATAACAGTTTAATTAATTGTTCATTGATATCAGAGAGAAAGACTAAATGTAAACAATAGTACGCATTATGATTTACCCCCTATCATGTGACCAAGACAACAGTTTAGTTATCATTGATTCATATGAGAGAGAAAGACAGATTAAAAAAATAATAGTATACATTATGACTTACATACTAATGTGTGA